TATTTAATAGACTGAAAGCAAAGGAAAAAGGCAATCGAGTCTATTCAGTATTCAACATATTTTTCTCAAAATTTTGACATGGTATCAGAGCCAAATTTTTGCCCAAACCACCGGTAGTCGTTGGAGGACCTTCACGACTTCCTTCCAGCCAGCCTTCTTGAGGAATGAAGGAACTATTTCTTTTCCTTGATTCGTTCATCAACTATGCCACCTGCGGTGATGACAAATGATGCTGGTGCTGCTTCTTCATCATCCTCTTCATGGTTTGGTGGTGGAAAGAAGCAGGCGGAAGTAGCAAGGATTCTTGGGTTGAAAAGGGCTGTTATGTTTGCATTATTATTCGGACGATTCGGATCTTCTTCGCTAAGCATCATTGTTTTTGTGGCATCTTCGACTGCTTCTTACGCTTCGCTTCCTTCGCTTAAGTATCGGCTTCGACACTCCTTCTTAGATCGATAGCTTTGGGTTCGACTTTGGCAAACCATAAATCTTAGGCTTCGACCTCTCCGGCTTCGGCACTCTCAGGCTTCTGCCTCTCAGGCTTCGACACTCTTGAGCTTCGACAATCTCAGGCTTCGGCCTCTCGGGCTTCAGCACTCTTGGCCTTCGGTGTTGAGTGTGGAGCCCGGTTAAAATATAATATATATATAACTACTCCCGCCTATTTGCTTTTTCTTATGGAAAGTGGGTCCCGCCACCATTAAAGAAGGAGAAAATTACATTTGATAAAAAGTGCAACTTGCAGGTGTGGTTATTCTTACGTGGTTTTCTTCTTCACGTACTATATACTGGAATTAAATATTCTTGGCTTCCATGATAGAACTTCAAGTGTGAAGAAAAGCAAGGTTCGGCTCTCCCTCATTCTTCTTATGTATTCTTCTTATGTTTTGTGTTGGTTTGCTGGTGAAGGAAGTATCGCAAAGCACAGGGAAGAAAACTTACGGGCTGAAGGATACGAATCAGGTAGCAGCAGTTTCTTGCGATTTGTTTTTCGGTCTTCTGTGAGACGCAAGAAAGAAAACGCTCCCTTTATTGTTGCTTCTTGGTGATCGGGCTGAAGCTTACGTGCGATATATCTACAGTAGAATCGCAAGGTGTGCTCGTCGGTGTATCTCTGTGTAGAGAGAAGAAGAGAGAGTGAGAAAGTGAGAGACTTTCTCCTGTAATTATCGTTGTGATCAAACGGTGTAAATTCCTCAATTATTAAAATCCTCTACAACTCTGTGGACGTAAGCAATTTGCCAAACCACGTAAATCTGTCTGTTTTTTTCTGGTGTGATTTTTCTCGTGTTATTTTATTATCGATTTAAATTTCAAATATAACACAACATTTGGCCCTCTCGAGCTTCGACACTCTCAGGCTTCAGCGTTTTCAGGCTTCGACATTGTTGGGCTTCGGCACTTTCAGACTTCAGCACTCTCGGGCTTTGACACTTTTGGGTTTCAACACTTTTGGGCTTCGACACTTTTTGGCTTCGACATTTTTAGGCTTCGGCATTTTTGGGCTTCGGCATTTTCAGGCTTCAACATTTTTGGGTTTCGACACTTTCGGTCTTCGGCACTTTCAGGCTTCAGGCTTCGACACTTTTAAGCTTCAGTACTTTTGGGCTTCGGCATTTTTAGGCTTTGGTATTTTCAGGCTTCGGCACTCACGACTTTAGGATTTTTTCTCCTGACAATGTTATCGGCTTCTTGTTGGCAAATTGTTGTTTTCTAATCAGTCAACATCAATTTGAGGGGGAATGTCAATCGGGAATGATGGAAATCAGACAGCTAAATTAAGAGTTTTTTATAATTAGAAGTTTCCTTATTTCCAATATATTTATTTTGATATATTTCCCTTTTAGCTGAATATTTATATTAGAAATATGTATTATTAAGTTACCTAAAATAGATTATATGCACTTTATTTTATACCTAAAATAGATTGTAAAATTGTTATTTAATGGACTGAAAGCAAAGGGAAAAGACAATCGAGCCTATTCAGTATTCAACATATTTTTCTCAAAATTTTGACAACCTGCTATCATAGCTTCTAATCAGAACATCTACAATATATGCAACCTTACCAAGAGCCACAAACAATCATTTGTACCACTATAGGACGTAAAGATAGACTTCTAGAACTTATTCATATTGATATATGAGGTCATCTCCCAATTGTCTCCTATCAAGGATATAAGCACTGCATTACCTTTATTGATGACTTCTTAAAATTTTATTGGGTATTTACCATCTATAATAATATGAAATTATATAGATAATTCAAACGTTCATTCATTTGATCAACAACCAATTCAACATCAAAATCATAATCATTCGATTGGATGGTTCAAAAAAAAAAAATCAAATTAACTCAAATTATTTAATAAAAATGGCATCATAGACCAATATTCATGTCCTTACATATCAGAACAAAATAGGGCTATCGAAAGAAAGCATCAACACCTCATTGAGATAAATCATGCCTTATTATATGATGCTCACTTACCATATACATTTTGGATTGAAATTCTTCTAACTGTTGTCCACTTAATCAAATGAATGCCAACTAAAATTACCACCTTTGTAATACACCTCCATCTTATAATCATCTTAGGGTATTTGGGCCTGCATGCTACCCATGGACGCAACCATAAATAGACCACAAATTGGCACCCCAAGATCTAACCAATGCATATTCATTGGTACTCACAAGGCCTATAAATTTTACAATTCAATCACAATAAGAATGTCATCTCTATAGATGGGGTGTTTGATGAGCACACATTTCCACATCTATCACAATCAAAAATAAATTCCCTCAAAAAACAGCCACCAAATCCATACATATGACTACTTCGTCTTACACCAACCACATACATATCCTCTTCTTCATGCATCAATCCAAATATTACCAATATTCCCTCTACCACAACATCTTCTTTATAACCACAACGTCACAGCAAGATGCATCAATCTCCAATCAAATAATTGAAACTAATTCATAAATTAAATCTGTCACACCAAATTCACCCAGAATCTGACCCAACATGCTATAGAAAAGCACCAAAATAATCTCAATGGAGACAAGCGATGGCTGTACAATTTTATGCTCTTCAAAGACTGGAAACATGGATGTTACTTTCTACTCCTGCTAATCAGCCTATACTATGATCTAGATGGACCTACACCACCAAATTCCGCTCTGATGTAAGGTGGCTAGATGCAAGGCAAAACTTATGGCTCAAGGTCATTAGAAAGAGTTGAGATTCCACTAACATGAAAATTTTAGTCCTATGGATAACATAACCACTATTTGCATACTACAAACCATTGCCCTTCATCATAAGTAGAAATTTTTTCAATTTGATATCTACAATGCCTTTTAACATGACACTCTCAGTGAAATGGTCTACATGAAGCAACCACTAGATTTCCATGGTCACCAATTTTCAAATCATGTTTGTCTACTTAAAAAGTCCCAATATAAATTTAAGCAAGCTCCAAGGCAATGGTTGATCACAGCCTCAACATTCTGTCCTTAAAAACGGTTTCACAATCAGCAAAACTGAATTATCTCTGCTTCTCTACCATCAAAAGACTATCAACATTTTTTGTGCTCATCTATTTAGATGAAATTTTAATTATTAGAAACAATGCCACTACTATATCAATGATGACATCCATACTTTACTCAAAATATTAGTTGAAACATCTTGGTCCTATAGGCCACTTCCTTGGCATTAATGAGGAATACTGAGCACTCACTGTAGCTACTATAGATATACTTTGGCTCCATCAACTTCTTCATGGGTTTAGTGTTTTCTTAATGAAGCCAATAACTTTGCACTGTGATAACATTTCAGCAATGTATCGAGCAAAAAATCTTGTCTTCCATGCTAGGAAAATACATGTAGAATTGATTATAACTTTATCAAAGATCACATTTGTTGAGAAATTAGGGCGAAGAAAAACAATAATCGACACAAATCCAGAAGAACACACAGAGATTTATGAGGTTCGGCAAAGATGCCTACATCCTCGGGAGCAGAGCGGCGACCTCCTTTTCAATATTCAGAAAAGAGTACATAATACAATATGCAAAAACTTAGAGACTCAGAGACTCGCCTAGGGTTACAAACAGGGACATATATATAAACAGGACATATATATAACCCTATAGTACAATATGTAATTACTTAAATTACCCATGTACTAGACCGCGGGGTGTTGCCCCCGCACCGCCAACCCGCATAATGAAACTCCCCCGATTGGACAGATCCTTCCGCTCCACCTCGCTCGTGGGCTCCGCTCCGCTCCAGCATCTGTCCAATTTATGGTATATGAGCCATACCTCACAACATTCATTCTAAGCGAATTCAGATTCACTAGATTCAATCTCAAGTTCAACCCGCAGACATACTCCCGTCACTCATCACCCACGACGACCATCTGTTGTTGTCACTAGTAATTGACAACCAATTACGATAAAGTAAACTTCTACATCTTCTTACAAATAAATTAAAAAACTGTAAAGTATTACAAATACATGATTTTACTATAAATTGTATTTAGAACATTTCAAAATATCAATTCATTGTACAAGATTGCGCCTATAAGACACCTGAATTACTAATACTTGCAACCACCTAATCCTTTAGATGATTTGAGCATATAGTGTAGCACAAAATGCATGTGAGCAAACTTTGTGTAAAATAATTTCCACACCTTATGCAACAATAAACAAGAATTTATCATGGAAAATGATTATTATAAAACCAACCAGAATAGTTGTATGCTTACATTCAGAATCTGTCTTTACCCATTTGCTTCCATTCTTCCATTTTTCATCTTGTTGTATCCTCTGCAAGTATTTCTTTGATGTTGATCGAGGAGCAGCAGGAGGATGAATATTTTTGAAAAGTATTTCCCTCAAAATCTTGCAAATAAGAAAAAAAAAATTAAAGACTTCCATTAGGAGAACATTAAGGAAAAAAAAATTGCATAAAAATGTAAATTCATACTTTTTCTATCCATGATTCAGGAATTGGATCCCTTAAGCTTAGCTGCGGAGCAAATCCACTTCTGCACACAAACATTTTCTTGAGAAGGAAAGAGAGCAGCGACCTTCGCCTGATCTCATTATGTTTAGCAGCAAGTAGTTCTTTTGCATTGTTTAAGATGATATCATCCGTTGATCCATTACAGATATTCGATGTAGAATTGTTGTCAAGTTTCAAACTTGAGGATTGATCAGTTTTATCTGTGCTAAAAACTTGTTTCAGATTTAGCAGTTTGCTTATTTCCTTCTGAAATATAATTTCTTCTTCAATACTTAAGTCTCCATTTTCCTGTAACGATTCTGAAGTTTGGGAAATTATTTGGGTCTCATTCTGCATTTCATTGCTGCTAAATGTTCCTATTGACAATAATGTTTGTGGCCAGCCATGGAATTCTTCTTTGCAGCTATTTTGCTTTGAAAAGCCTAAGAAAATAATACATACATTAAAATCTACAAACTAAACTAAAAAATGCAACAAAAGTGAGTGTATTTAAATAAAACCAGAGAATGATGATGAGATAAATACCATTTTTGTAGGATATATTAAATTAATTATAATTATGAAAACACTTAGAAGAAGAGAGGAGAAATCACTGACAATGATCAAAGCCATGGCATATATCGAACTTCTTCTCTTGTCTCCCTGTTATCTTACTTCGAACCCAGCCAAAGATCTAGAAAACTAAATAATTAATTTAACACATAAACAAGATATCATGGTGGTTCAATTTTTCTTTGTATTTCTCACCTTCATATCTTCACCAATGCTCAAACTTACTGATTATGGAGACAGAGAGAGAGAGAGAGAGAGAGAGAGAGAGAGAGAGAGAGAGAGAATGGAAACTTCTCTGTGTTCACCGCAGCCTAAGATCAAGCTAACACTGTTAAGAGAAATGGAGACAAGGAACCATAAGGCTGAGCAGGGAGAGCCCTGAAAACACTAAATTGAATGAAGGAAATATGATATTAAAATTGATGTAGTTTTAAATTCAAAGTTGTGCAAAGTTCATTGGCCTTGTGGTTGGGGGTCTTGGCTTTCATCATGGAGGCAAAGTTTGAGTACATTAACCGTTAACTCCTAACAATTGCTATTAATTTTGCTTCACGTCATTACAAAAATGAAAGTTAATTCCAATGCTCAACTTTCTATGCAGCTTAATCAATCACCTTTTAATATATATATATATATATATATATATATATATAGAACGCAAAGAATATATATATATATTGAAGGCAAAGCATTGTAGCCCTATTACTTTGTATGATATGCTCATGTCCAAATATAAGATGAGTCAAGAACAAGTATACCCTGTTAAGAATTGCAATTGAAACAGAGAAGAAGAAGAGAAAGAGAAGAGACAATGAAAAGTGGCTAAGGTTTCCATTAGCTCAAGTACCTCATTACAAGAGTATATATATAATAAAAAAAAAGACTAAACTACCCTTAAATAGGGTAAAATAATAGAAATACAAATACTATAATATCTAACATCCCCCCTAAAACTCACGTTGCAGCAAGGGGAATCATCGAGAGTTTGCTAGTAAAAAATCAAAAGCATTGAGTGGAATACAATTTTGTAAATACGTCAGCAAGTTGCATGGATAAAGAAATGCAGCGTAAGGTGATGGTGCCATGTTAAAACTGATGGCGAGTGAAATGACGATCAATCTCATTATGTTTGGTGCGCTCATGAAAGACTAAGTTGCGGGCAGTTTGTATAGCACTCTTGTTATCAAAGTACATAGGAGTTGGGCTAGAGAAAGAGCACCCATATCAGCAAGTAACCAGAGCAACCAAACAATTTCTGCAGTGGTGGATGTCATGGAACGATACTAAGCTTTGGTAGAAGAGCGAGAGACAACTGCTTGCTTCTTACTCTTCTAAGAAATGAGAGAATTTTCTAGAAAAATACAAAATCCTATGGTAGACTTACGACTGGTGGAATCACCACCTCAATCAGCATCTGAGTAGACACGTAATTCCAAAGAAGAAGATGCAGGAAAGAGAAGACTCTGAAATTGAGTACCCCAAAGATAATGAAAAATGCGAAGAACAGCTACCCAATGAACTGTAGTAGGAGAGGCAACAAACTGACTAACAACATGTACTGCATAAGCAATATCAGGTCTAGTGGTGGTAAGATATATCAAGCTGCCAACAAGTGTATGATATAAAGTGAGATCGGACAAATGAACACCATCAGAAGAGGTATAGTGAACATTAAGCTCAAGAGGAGTAGCAGTTATCCGAGTATCAGAGAGACGAGCTTGTTCAAGAATGGTGCCAATATACTTAGATTGGGAAAGAAGATAACCTCAAGAGAATGAGCCACTTCAATCCCCAAAAAATATCGAAGAGTACCTTGATCTTTCATCTCAAACTATTGAGCTAACTATAATTTCAACTCTATAATCTCATTATCATCATCCCCAATAATAATCATGTCATCAACATATAAACAAAGTATGATACGACCACAGAAGGTACTCTTGAGGAATAAGGCAGTGTCATGTGAGCTAGAATGAAAACCAAGAGATGCAATCACAATAGAAAAATTTTTAAACCAAGCTTGAGGAGCTTGTTTAAGGTCCTAGAGAGCTTTCTTTAATTTACAAACTTCACCATGATTATGTGAGACACCTGGTGGAGGCACCATGTAAACTTCCTCTTAAAGATCACCATTTAAGCATGCATATTTAAAATCCATTTGAGAGATATGCCATTGATGAATAAATGTGAATGCAATAAGAGCACAAATAGTAGTCATTTTGGCAACAGGAGCAAATGTTTCTTCATAATCGAGACCATGCTGTTGAGAAAGTCCCTTAGCAACCAAACGAGCTTTATATCGCTCAATTGATCCATCAGACTTGGTTTTGATCTTACACATCCAATGAGAACCAATTGCACGTTTTCCTGAATGAAGAGAGATAAGGTCTTAAATATCTGTCTTATGCAAAGAAGAAAGTTCTTCTGCCATAGTTTTTTGCCAAAGAGGATCAAGAACATCCTCTTAATAGGAAGAAGGTTCAGAAAAATTGTAAATGGAGATTAAAAAGGAAGCAAAAGAAGTAGAACAAGTGAAGTAAACAAAATCTGACAATTTAGTAAGCTTACGATCACGTTGAGGGTAATGAAGAAGAGGATGATCCACAATCACAGAAGGTTCTTGGGGAACAATAGGGATAAGGGGAGCATCGGGATCTGTAGAACTACTAGTGTCAACCTTGCAAAGCTCAATATCAAAATTATTTGGTTGATGAATCACATGATGAGTTTCAATATCTGTATCTGTGTGAAAAAGATCAATTGAGATAAGATTGAACTTTGTAAGGCTATGAGGAGAAGAAGGAGAAATGGAGTAAAATGATATATGCTCAAATACAATAAGATGTGAGACAAAATATTTTTAAGTGACAGGATCATAATAATGATATTTTTTTTTTACTATCACCATAACCAAGAAATACACATATTCCTGAACACGGAGATAATTTATTACGTTGTACATGAGGAAGAAGAACAAAGAAAGTAGAACCAAAAACTCTCAAAGCGGATTAATCAGGAGCGTGACCATATAATTTTTCAAAGGAAGACAAACCTGAAGTAATAGAAGATGGAATTCTGTTAATATTATAGACTGCAGTAAGAATAGCTTCCCCCTAAAATTCACTTGGAATGGAGCCATACAAAAAAAGGGAACAAGTTGTTTCAAAAATAAGACGATGTTTCCTTTCAATAACTCCATTTTGTTCAGGAGTGTCGGTACAAGAAATTTGAAGAATAATCTCATCAGAGGCAAGTAATTCAAAGAATTTAGTAGAGGTATATTCAACTCCCAGATCACATCGAAAACACTTAATAACATTATTATGTTGAGTTTTGACAAATGCATGAAACATTTGATAAACACTAAAAAAATAGAAATTTTTTTCATAAGATAAATCCAACAATAACGAGTATAGTCATCAATGAACAAGACATAATATCTAGATCCACCTTTGGTAAGAACAGGTGATGGACCCTATACATCCGAATGAACCAAGATAAAAGGTGCAACAGAAAGTGAAACACTTTTAGAAAAAGGTAAAGCAGAAAATTTAGCAAGTTTACAACCACAACAATTAGAAATATCATGAGTATTTAACTCGCCCCAAAACTCCTGTAGAAACTATGTATGTTAGACGAGAAGAAGAGACATGTCCAAGATAAGAGTGCCATAAATAAAATTTAAAAGATGATGAACTCAAATGAAATGTTAACAGGTCAACACTGGAAGCTGCAACATCTGAAACTCTTAGCTCATCTAGAATATAAAGTCCCCTTTGCCTACGGTCTGTCCCAATCAGCCTCCTGGATTGTGGATCCTGCACCTAACAAGATGTGAAAAAAAGTAAAACCGAGAAACTAGAATCACACAATTGACTAACAGAAACAAGGTTCAAAGTAAGATTGGGGATATAGTAAACATTTGAAATGTATAAATGTGGTGTACATACAGACCCAGTGCTCGCTAATGGCATAGGGGTGTCATCAGCTGTCATGACTGATACAGATGATGTAGGATGTAAGGATACAAATGATGTAAAATCAAATGACATATGATGAGAGGCTCTAGAGTCAAGAATCCAAATGAAAGAATATATACCTGATGAGCTAGAGGAAGACAAACCTATATTTGATGGGCAGACATGGCATGTGGCTATGTGACAAGAAACTTTTGAAACTACTCAGAAAACACAACTACTGTAAGACCCGAAGAATATGCATTTCCAACACTAAGAGAGTATGTCAAAGGAACAACAACAACAACATTTGATGTTGGAGTCTTGAAGCTTCGTGGGTGCAACTGATTGAGTTGTTGTGTCTGCTGTGATTTGTTCAACAACTTTAGATATTGACCTTTCCAATGACCTTTTGCTTACAAAATCTACATTCATCAAAACCAACTTTTGCATTGGATTTGCTTTTATTATGATTAGTATGCAAAAGAGACAGATTAGGAGTGGGGAGGATCCCTTTCTCAACATTCCCTTTCTCAGATTGAGACTTGAGATGAATCTTTTCAGCTAATAATTCATTAACCACTGAGTCAACTGTTGGAAGAAGATTCCGATGTAAAATTGTTCCACGAAGCCCTTCAAAATCATCTCGAAGAGCCATAAAAAACTAACCAAACGCCATTCTTCTCTACAATCAATATATGGTTTAAAAGCTCGTAATTCTGCATATTCAATAAGAGATAATTGATCACAAAGATTAGTCATGACAGAATATAATTCTTGGATGCTCATGTTGTTTTGTTGAAGAACACAAATATTTATCTCTAATTGATATTTCTTTGTAAATTTGAATGCACATATAATCTTTCCAAATGATTACAAACTTCTTTAAAGGTTTCATATTTTGCTAATTGGACACCGATTGATTGTGAAATTGAGTTATTGATCCAAGTGATTATTTTTGAATTATTTGCTTCCCATACTTCCAACCTTTCTTCATAATTTTTATCCTTTTAATCTATGGGTTTTATAGGGTTCTAGAAACATAACCCCACATTTTTTGCCTTTCAAATAATTCTTTATTACATAACTCCAATATGAGTAATTTTATCCATTTAATTACACACTAATAGATTGAAGAGAATTATTATTTTTATCAACCATTGCTACTATTATCAATTCAAAAAAGAAAATAAAGAACAGGAAGATCAATTACTAATAACAATAGATCACCTGAAAACTGCAATT